GTCACACCCACACAACCCAAACTCACGCCATACACACACCACACTCACACAACCCAAACTCAAATGCTATACACACACCACACTCACACCCACCATACACATGCCACACCCACACAACCCAAACTCACGCCATACACACGCCACACCCACACAATCCAAACTCACGCCATACACACACCACAGTCACACAATCCAAACTCACGCTATACACATACCACACTCACACCCACCATACACACGCCACACCCACACAACCCAAACTCACGCCATACACACGCCACACCCACACAACCCAAACTCACGCTATACACATACCACACTCATACCCCAAAGACACACCACGTAAACACACCCCTATACACATGCCACACACCACACATGCGATTTCCAGGCTCTTCCACACCCGTAAGGAATTGGAATCTCTGGGTAGGTCCCAGGAATAGTATTTAACAAACATCCAGGGAAACTGCTATGTGTTGTCATTTTGAGAACCTGTGAGCACATCCCACCTGGTGCCAGATGCATCTCGGCAGGACGCATGCACGCCAGGGAAACAGGCAGACACTGACGGGATTTGAGCTTGGGCACAAACTGGTTCCAAATCTATTTGGTGCCGCTAGAAGCAAGCGTTTCCTTGTGACAGAGGGTGCAGGGCATGGGAGGACAGAGGAGCTGCGTGCACGAATGCCTGTGTGCCCTGTGCCTGCAAAGCGGCCACGGCAAGCTGTCTTGCAGGTCATTTCCACTGGCTGACGGTGTCTGCACTGGCAAGGAAAAGCCTGTGCTAAGCGGGCCTCTGTTGTCTGTGTAGAGAAGGGAGCTGGGCCTGGGCACCACTGTCAGTCATCAGAGCCGGGGCTGCTCCCTCCTCCCCACCGGGTGCTTTGCCTTCTTGGGGGCCGCAGCTGGAGGCAGCTGAGCCCTCGGGCCGGCCGGGTGTCACTCCAGTGACATAGGATGCTAAACAACTTTCAGTTGAAGAGAGAGAATGTATGCAACGTTGAACAGTTATGATTTTAAGCAGAATTTGTTTTCTTCTCTGGACCTTGGTCCTACTTTTTATCCTTGTCTGGGGTCTTAGCGTGGAGAGAAGTTCACCATGGAATGTGATCAGATTGTCCATCTTTTCTTTTTGTCCATCTCTTAAAGTGCAGCTTGTCTTTTGTAAGAAATCTATCCTTGCCCTAGGCAATAAGAATATTCTATATTCCTCATAATAATCTTATGATATTTAAGATTTCCTTTCCTTTCCTCATAATAATCTTAATGTTTTAATCTTAAGTTTGGGGGGTGCTACTTTTACGCCATCATCCACATGGAAAGGCAGCTGTCCCAATAACACCCGTTCCTGAAGAGGCCATTCCGTGCCAAAGATTGACCAGCCCCAGGACAAGCCAGGTCCTTGCACACATCCCTGCCTGGGAATCCGAATTCTGCTCGACCCCTTGTCATGACTGATGGCAGGTTTATGATCTATCCAGACGCTTGGTAGGTGAGCCCTCCCCCTCCTGCCTCTGCTCCCCGAATCGCCATGGCTATCCTCAGACCTTTATCTTCTATGTTTATTACAATCAATTTCCTAACTCCACAAAGAATTCTGTTGGGATTTTGATTAAATACACGGATTAACTTGGGGGAGAATTAACACTTTGGTGATACTGAATTGTCCCATCCATAAAAATCTCCCATTTAGGCCTTCTTTTATGACCTTCTATCATGTTTCATGATTTTGTCCAAAACCTTTGTTACATTTATTTTAGCATTTAGGTTGCTGTTAAAATAGTATTGTCATTGCTAGGAATATCACTTTTTGTGGGGTGATCTTGTGGGCTTCTTGGTTTCAATAGTTTATGAATTCACCTGGATTTTCTAGATATGAAAAGTTATTTTTCAATTAGCATGCCTTGTTTCCTTTTTCTTTTTTTTTTTTTGAGATGGAGTTTCACTCTTGTTGCCCAGGCTGGAGGTGCAATGGCTAGATCTCGGCTCATGGCAATCCCTGCCTCCTGGGATCAGGTGATTCCTCGCCTCTAGCCCCTGAGTAGCTGGGATTGCAGGCATCGCCACCACCGCCCGGCGCTGACTTTGTATTTTAATAGAGATGGGGCTTTTCCATGTTAGCCAGGATGGTCTTGATCTCGCGCTCATGATCTGCCGCCTGGCCTCCCAAAGAGTGCTGGAATTACAGGCCTGACCACCGCACCGGCCTTGTTTCCTTTTCTCTTTGTTGTGGTAATCACTAGTACGGCCACTAAATCCGCACTGGAGAGTAGTGGGGTCCCTGTTCAGTTCTGCTGCCAATGGGGATGGTTCTAAAGGATTTCAGTACTTAAAATTTTTGCTGCAGCCGGCGCGGTGGCTCACCCTGTAATCCCAGCACTTTGGGAGGCCGAGGCGGCAGATCATGAGGTCAGGAGATCAAGACCATCCTGGCTAACGCAGTGAAACCCGTCTCTACCAAAAATATAAAAAATTAGCCAGGCGTGGTGGCGGGCGCCTGTAGTCCCAGCTCCTCAGGAGGCTGAGGCAGGAGAATGGTGTGAATCCGGGAGGCAGACTTGCAGTGAGCGGATCGTCGCCACCATACTCCCAGCCTGGGCAACAGAGTGGAACTATGTCTAAAAAAAAAATTTAAAAAAAAAAAATAAAAATAATTTGCTGTAAAGATTTGTTAGATATACTTTATTTAGTTAAAGAAATTTTCTTCTACTCTAGTTGGCCTAACATGGACAAGTACATGTTAATGAAAACTGAATTACTGTTTTGCATTGTTAAGATGGTGATTTTCCCCTTTACTTTGTTAATACGGCAAATTATAGCCATATTACACATACTCCCCCTTGTATTCCTGGGATATTTCACTTGCATGTTACTTAGAATGTATTACTTTTACTTATAACATACAATTGGGTTTTAATTATATTTCATTTGGAATTTTTGCATTCATCTCATAATTTTATTTTTTTCTTTTTTTTTTTGAGACGGAGTCTCCGCTCTGCCACCCAGGCGGCGAGTGCAGTGGGCCGGATCTCCAGCTCACTGCCAACGCTCTCGCTCTTGGGTTCACGCCATTCTCCGGCCTCAGCCCTCCGAGTAGCTGGGACTACAGGCGCCCCGCATCCACCCGGCCTAGTTTTTTTTATTTTTAGATAGTGACGGGTTTATACCGTGTTGCCAGGATGGTCTCGATCTCCTGACCTCGGGGATCCCGCCCGTTCC